CGCACGAGTTATTAAAGCGTACGTGTTGGTATCGACACTATCTGTAATTATCACACTCGATGTGGCCACTAATTAGCAAAGCGATATTGCGGTTAGTAAAAAATTTAATAATAAATAAATTAAATCAGAAAAATTATGTTGAAAGTTGTGAATAAAATGAGTTTTAATGAAATAAAATATAATATTTTATAAAGAGGTTTTTTCGAACAGTAGTAAATTAAAACAACAAGAATTCATTTTATATTATTTTAATCAATTCAATTTTTGGCTGACCATACAACTGTTTCGAGTATTGCCAAATACCCATCATCAGTGGTCTTAGAAATAATTCTTGTATTTAATTATTCGTAATAATTATTTTTGAGACACTTGCGAATCTCAGAATCAGCTAAAATATTTTGTATTATTTTAAACATGTAACTTTGAGAAAACCAACACACTATTAATAGGAAATTACTTGAACACAATCAAATAAAGATATAAGGTTAACTGAATTGGGATAAAATATTATATATCCGATATAATATTATTATGTTGAGCCCTTTAGCTGGGAGGTTTCTTCAGAGTCCCACTCAACCCACTGACTAATTAGTGTATTCGTCATGATATTCGTGATTATTCAATGAATGATCTGCGTACCGGTCCGTGCGGCTAATGATAAATCTGAGATTAGATTGTGCTCAGTAGGGCAGCCTGTCGGTTTTCGCATATAGCTTCAGTGCTCTGTCCCTTATGTATTTTTTGAACTATATAATATATACTAAATAATATAAATATATGAAAGAGGGTCTTGAGTTTCAGTTAAGCTTAGTACAAACATTCAGACCACATATTCTTCCAAAGTTACCAAATTCTTACTCTAACATAATGTCGGTATCTAACTAAATTCATAAACAAAGCAATAAAATTAAGAAGCAAACTGTTGTTATACATAAAATGACACTGTTTTTGTTGCCAATTTGTTATTTTTTCTGCATATAATAAATACATACCTTCCTACATATAGCACTAAACACATGAATTAAGCTTCAAAGGTTGCTGAAAAAGACGACTAATAAAGGAAGAATGAAGCTTGCAGTGCTGCAATAGCAGCATTGCCCAGTATATTCACTACTGGGCTTAAAATTTCCAAAGCACTATATCACAATATTATCAATGTTAAAATGTTTTATCTTAAAATAAACAAGGACACGTATGACCTGTTCCACGAGAAAACTAGAATGAAAAAAGGTTTTAATTATAATTTCGTATAAGTCACAACTACACTAAGAGATATTGGATACTTGAGTTTTCAATAGATAACAAATCAATGACATCACATGTGAAAATTTTTCATAGCCCATCTGCCATCTACCAAAAATTGTGAAAATAAATTTTGTGCAAATCGGAAGAAGTGGAAAATAACCGAAAGTATTTGCGAAAAAGAATCACGTTTTTATTAAAAAGTCCGCACCACAATTATTGTACAGTAACTGGCAAGGACCCAGAAGCAAAGACGAAAAAAATTTATTCCCTATTATTACTACTAGAAATACTACAGACGTTTACTTGCCAACTATGTAAATATGTATGTGTCTACACTTGTAAGTATGTGTAGGTGAGGCCAGGAAGAAAAATGAGTTGCAAACAACATGTGCACCAAATTGAGAAAACACTTTGTACATATTTAATGAAATCTTACTTGTAACACGTTGCTTAAAGGAACAAAGATGTCAGTGGTTCCAAATTTAGGCTTTAAGGCTGAAAAATTTCACGAAAAAGAAAAGTATCTTTAAATACATGAAGCAAAGGCGCAATTAGACACAGTCAAGCAGTGATGAAATGATATTTAAAAATTTCCAGCTATGCTAAGGTTGCTATTCGTACGCCTGTGCTGGCATAAAAGAAATCATTATCCTTAAAATATACCAACTCACTGACATTCAGCCTTGAGAAAGAAACAAAATTAAAATGAAATAATTGTTACCAAGGCAGCAGTCGGCTTCACATGAAATGCCATTACCTTATACCATAGCATGCAGCACTGGTAATTCAGCTAATTTAGCTGATATCGAGTTCAGTATGAATTTCATGAATTTTGAAAATTAGGGAGGCATACGTCGAGGATGGGGAATTAGATTAGCGATTTCAAATTTAATCCTTCCCACATGTACTAAATCCTTCTTAATCATTTTTTCAAATTATAAAATAATAATTTTTTGTATTTCTTTATAATAATCTTTATCAATAATAAATATATCGAAATCTAATTAAACATTTTTGATTATTTAATACTTATTAAACAATTGCCTCTAAGATTTTAGTAAACGAACATTTAAGGCTACTTATTCATTTTAAATGGTAATGAACATATTCAAGAAAATAAATAAATATATGAAGTACGTACTAATTTACTAAAAATAAGACTATTCAAGTGGAAGGAAGGAATTAGCAAAACTTTGAAAGGTGGAGGAACGCCATTAAGTGGTTGGTTTAGACCCTTCAAGATAGATAACACCTATCAAAACAAAGTTATATAAATCTTTATATTTGTGATTGTTGTTGACATTAAGAAATACTTTCGTAATTAAATATGCTAGCTTCGATTAGCACTTGTATATTACTACAACCCGTGATTGTCCAAAGTTGATACAGTATTGTATTCATATCCCTGAAATATTGGTTTCATAGTCCTGGTTTGACAACACTGATATAAATTGAACAACAATATTTGATTTGTCCCCACTGGATTCATTTTTGTAGCATTATGCAAAAGACGATTTATGTGAACGATTCTAAGACTCTTAAAGCTTTACACATGAACATTCACTCATAGACATTCGGTCTGTTAAATATAGAGTTATGTCTAAATTGCAAATTTTAAAAACCCCATTGGTAAATATCTAATGGAAACATAAAGATTCTTTCTATATACATGATTAACTTATAATCACACTAT